AGGATTGCGCAGGCGCTGTATGCGTCCTGCGCATGCGTGGAAGCGCAGAATTCGGCAAAACCGGGTAAGGAGCAGGCGCGGGCGCACACGGGCACGCAGGCGCGGGGGGGGGCCCTTCGCCGTTCCCGGAAGTTACTTACTTCCGGGTTCGGCGACCAACCGGATCGCAGGGACCTCCGCAAACCGGTTGAAACCCACCCCTGATTAATTAGGGCGTCTTTCGGAAACCTGACAGGCAGTCAGATCTGTCTATTTGTCAAAACCTCCAATGATGGAGCACCCACAACTCCAGGAGGCAAGCCGGTGGTGTGTTCCTGCCACTTTAATAACCGGTTCGGTAATCGCGTGCTGATCGTCGGAGCTACCGGTTCACCTGAACCACTCCAAACTGGCTGAATCCCATCCCTGAGACAAACTCTTCCATTGGTTAATTGTTCTCACTGTCAAGAAATTATTCCTTATTTCTAGGTTGGATGTCTCCTTAGCAAGCTTCTTCTTGCCTTACCTTCTGGTGCTTTGGAGAACAAGTCAATCCCCTCTACTCTGTCCCTCAGGTACTGTGAGACAATTATCATGTCCCGTCTCCCACCCAATCCTTCTCTTCAATAGGTTACACAGGTTAGCTCCCTCATACGATTTAGCCTCTGTTCCTGTTATCCTTCTTGTTGGTCTTCTTGCAAGGAGGTCTACCAATGTTCAGGTGAACTACATCAGAAATGTAGACGGATGTCTTGCTCAACTGGACTTCACCAACCCTGATCAAGTTTCCCCCACACTTTTTAACAGAAATCCGATTTGCAGCCCGCAGACCGGACCTGAAAAATTTAGAGAGGAGGGGGCTGCCTTTCAGCTGACTTCGTTTCAAGAATGTGAGAGTATCAAAGCAGTTCCACTTTTCCCCACCAGATGGTACTGCTGTTCCATCTTAGCCAAATAAACTCTTGATTGCCTCCCCGTTTTTGACAGCTGCTGGTGGGAGCTGGGAAGATAGAGCTGAAATAGACCATTAAGAGGAGGTTAATGTATGCAAATAGGCTCCTGCTGGGAGGTATATAATAGGAAATTTGCATGGCTGCACTTACGGGGGAACTGAATGCCGGAATCACACTGAGTCTCTTTTAATGCTCAGAGCAAAACCTTGGCAGAGACGACATGCTCTCTTGCACATCAAAACAAGTTTTTTTTTTTTTTAAAAAAAACCCGTTTCAAAGACAATCGAAATATTAATGGACAGATTAAAAGATTTGGCACATTTGTAGGTTTCAAGCGGAATAAACACACGGCGGAGATGTTAACAACGAAGAGGAGAATGGAAGATCAAACAGAATCGACGCGTAAAGCGGGGATTTTAAGATTGGGAAGAAAGGCAAAATAACAGGATATCTATCACACGTGAATTTCAAGTTGCGTCAAACTCATTGTGTGGGAGAGGTGGAGTGAAATGACAAAAGAGTTTGTGGACAAGAATGCCATCCTTGGTGTGTGGGCGGCTGTGTTTGCACGCTGTAGAAAGTTCGCCCCCAGCCCTCTCCTAGAAGAATGAAATATTTTGAGAAATATTAAAAAGGCAGAATATTATATTTCCCTGGAAACATGAATTTTTTTAGAGGCAGGAAGCAGACTCGCTCTTAATAGCCTCTGCCTTTCTTAATAGCTCTCAGCAGATGTCAGCACTTAAGAGACAAAGAGATTGCTAGTTCTATTCATAAGCAAATTCTCTGCAGCAAGGTCTGAACAATGGTAGGATTAACCCTCAGCCACACTACCCTGTTTCCCCTAAAATAAGACCTCCCGGATAATAAGGCTAATGTGCTAAAATAAGCCCTCCCCCAAAAATAAGCCCTTCCCTAAAATATTGCAACACAGCAGCAACCATGTGGTGACCACACTTGCTGCCTTCTGCACCTCAAAAATAATAAGACCTCCCCAAAAATAAGGCCAAGTGCTTATTTCGGGAGTCAAAAGAAAATACGACATTGTCTTATTTTGGGGAAAACATGGTAGGAATTGCCCAACAAGCACCTTCATTGCATCAGCAGTCCAAACTTCAACCAAGCCTAGCTCAGACAACCTACCGAGCCAGCTATCACCACTACAACAACCAATAGAATGCATGTTCTTGCACAGGAACAGGAAGCTCAAGTGCAAATCCCAAGAGAAGGCATAAATACCTGCCCACTCTCAACTCCATAGGGTCAGCTGTCCAGAACCATGTGCCTGGTGGTTCTGCTTCAACCATTAAAGAAGCCCTTCTTCCCAAGAAGCCCCCAGCCTCCATTTTGTCTCCAGTGCCTTCCTCCTGGCTTGGGAACTGAACCAGATGGATATTTCTTCCAACAGTGCATTTGAGCATGTGGGTGCGTTTGGGCTCTGCTTGGAGAGGATCGAAAGAACTCACTCTATAATGGTCAGGACGTCGTCATCGGACTGAGTCACCTCGTCCTCGGATTGGTCGCTCAGCATGTCGCAGGGTAGAAGAGAAGAGGCATCCGCCACCTCCAAAACTGGAGCGATGCTGGGCCTCCTTTTTCCAGACCCGTTCTCGGATGGCAATGTTAACTTGGAGCTGTGATTGGGATGGCATTCGGTGTTCTGAAGATCCATGGCCACCGTGCCTGGTCAGGATAACAAGGAGGAGGAGAGATCAGCTGCGGCCTGGGGCTTTGCCGGTCTGAAGTTCTCGTAGACCAGCTGGCGTGAAGGAAGGTCTTTTCCCTCGCGGGAAAACCAATGAAGGAGATGACTGCTTTTGAAAGTCAGAGGGATTTTGCAATGCACCTGTTGGGCACAAGCAACCAAAACCAATGGTGGGATGCAACCACTGATTTGGTGAATGCACACGTGTGCGCTTTGCACACGGGCGTACCTAACACATGCTTTGCATGCATGCTCAGCATTCAAAGACTGCCAATTTTAAGCTAAAAAGCTTACCTTCTGTGTCAGTGCCAGTGAGTAAAACAGCTGACGCATGGCAACCATGCGAATCAGCTGAGCTAAAAAGCAGGGAAATATTGGACGGGAAAGGGCAAAGGTGGATGGGCGGGGCCAACTGCTCACCGGAAGTACCAGTTCACCCGAACCGGTCAGAACCAGCTGAATCCCACCCCTGGCCAGAACCATCCATGGGTGGTCTGAAGCAGAAGCTTTATTGCTAGTTAGAAGAACCTCTCCAGATTGTCCTCGTTCATTTGGGAATGGTCAGATAAAGGTGTCAGGGATTCTGTGTCGCTTACTGCCACGTCAGGATTCTGAGCTCAGCCCCCTCTTAACGCCTCCTCCAGGCTGGGTAGAGATTCCACCCCAACCCATTTGGGGAAAGTTTAAGAGCAGCTCACCCATGCTAGCGATGATGCTATGGACTGGCAATCTTGACGGTCCCTCGTAGATCCCTTTGCCCATAAATTTCTGCTTCTGCTTCTCTTCCTGCTTGAAGATGAAGGCGGAGTTCTCCTCCTTGGTGATGTTGATGTAGAAACACGTATCGGACGCGGTCATGATGTGCCGTGGTCCCGGGTTGAGAAGGATGCTCTTGTTCTCCTTTTTCACTCCCATCAAGCAAACACCGTATCTGAGAGGGCAAAGGATCGAGGTAAAACCCAACCCTCCCAATATTCCTTTCGGATCTCCTCCTCGGCAAACCCACCCAAAGACCAAATTAAAAAAAAAATCGGGCATTTCCGTGTACTTTTTGTGAGCATGGAAGGACGCGTAGGTGAAGCTCTTCCCTTCATACTCCATGAAAAACTTGCTGTCGCCCATGCGGATGTGGTACACCTCATTGCCCGAGCAGCGCCCGTACATCCGTTGCCATTGTTCCGGAGACTCCTGGCCTTCCCTGGAAGTAAGAGAATAACGGAGTTATTACGGAGGGAGCCTGGCGGTCTTCTAGTCTGACCCCTTGCTCAAGCAGGAAACCAGAGGTGGTATTCATTTACTTTCCCTACGAGTTTGCAAATGTGAGCCTTTTGGCTAAAAAACAGCCTAAATGGGATGCCATAGAGCCAGGGCGGATGAGGTTGGCCACGCGTGATTTTCGCTACTAGTTTGGGCGAACCGGGGCAAACCAGTAGAATACCACCTCTGATGGAAACTCTCTACCATTTCAGACAAGTGGTTGTCCAACCTCTTCTTAAAACCTCTAGTGTTGGAGCACCCACAACTTCTGGAGGCAAGTTGTTCCAACG